TATATATCTTAAGTTCCATTATATAATAATTAAAAATTAACTAATGAGAACATGCACATGATTTTTTCATTGATAAATTTTTTAATTTTTTAATTGTTGTACCGCGTACGAATGGCGCTGGACAGCGTCGAACGAAGATAGGAACAACGCGAGAGAAGTAAAAGGGACTTGCAACCGCATGTTTACACATATATCTATCCGATCGCGCATTTGTGGATTTCTAGCGAAGGTACTCCCGGGGTCATGGGTGCTGCGGTCTGAAATGTCATGTGTTGCCGCAGACTTTGAGGCCTCTCAGCAAGCCACGGTCGCGTCCGTCGATTACCTCTGTCATCCTCGCCATCCTCGAGAGAATCAGAAAGGCTCTCGTTTCTCGCACTCACCGGTATCTGCACGAACGTCCCGTTGTTCAGCTGGGGGTACGAGTACAGGGGTACCACCGGCACGGAGCCGTTCTTCAGGAAGATGGGACCCTGGATAGGCGTGACGTGTGCGTTCGTCGGTATCTCCTGCTCCTCGTCGTCGTAGTAATCGTCGAAATCGTCGTCGTAGTCCAACACAGCGTGGACCGAAGTCTTGATACCCGGACCGGCGGAGCTGCCGCCGTTAACCCTCGTGTAACTTTGGGTGAATTAAATATATGAGTGTCCAGAAAAAAAAAAATGATCAAATATTTCTCACGCGAAGATCCGACGTGCAAGCTGCCTGACGAATTCGATTAAGAATATTCGAAAGAAGTCGTATCGTAAAATAACCATAAAATATTTAATTCGTCATCATCGATTTAAATCAGAGTAAAAAATAATATTTTCGTTATTATTCCGTTACGAGAAAAGTAAGAAAGAGAAGTCTCCATTTACCCGTTAGGTCTGTCCGGATAATTCTCCTGGTCTTCCGTCCGAGATTTGACGGGTTCGGATGAATGATGCTGAAAGGACGAGGGAGACGGAGGTGGTCTCATCTGTTGCTGTTGTTGCTGTTGCTGATGCTGCTGCTGCTGCTGCTGCTGCTGCTGTTGCTGCCTTGGCTGAGTTCTTCGAAAGTCCTGATTGTACATGGTGTAACGGGTGTCCTGCGACGAGAAGGACGTGTGTTCCGTGTAAATCTGCTGACTCCTCTGCTGCGTGGATTGACCACGTCGGTGCTGATGGTACTTGATCGGGGGTGCATAGGGCTCGTTACCTCGGAAGCCTTCTTGTTCGTTGTAACTGGGCGCAGACCCCGGCGGTAACACGGCGTTCAGACGAAGGTTGCTGGCGGTCGCGTGGGCGGTCGAGCCCGCGTAAAGGAACGGCGCCATCGTCGCCGACTGATAGGGCAAACTGAAGTTCACCAGCGCCATGTCTCTCGCGTTTCTCGGGGAGATTCCCCCGAACCGGACACTAAATCCGAATTCGTCCTCCGTAGAGGCGTAGAGGCAAGTCTCTCTCTCTCTTTGATCGATCGTGCACTAATCCGAACGACAGTTAACTCGATCCAGCGTAGGACCAGATACGTTTCTCCTCGTCGCGGAGATCATGACCGCGTCACTGGCGACTTCGGCGAGGCGGCACTAAGTTCCAAGGACTCGCGAAGGTGTCACGAGGAGACCGGGAGTAAGGATACTGCCGTCGTCGCGAACATGTCGAACATGTTTCCGCTTCCCGATCACGTCGTATCACGGGCTGCTTCGAAGGGGCGGGTCCAGCCTGTCTCCCTCTCGGTCATTGATGCCGGCGCAGCCGCATGATTAATCGGAGAAAGGATCCGGACGTTGATTAATTAAAATACACCGTTTTCCCTTCGCGCCTCTCGCAATTTATGGCGAGATCGGACTGAAAATGAAAGGAGTTGTCACGCGGGTAAAACTTTATTCTCGCCGACGATAAAATTTCGCTCCTAAATTCATCATCGAGAGGATCTTAAAAAAAAAAAAAAAAAAAACTTAGGTCCCGAAAGTCCAGGCGGTGAATAAATTAGTAGAATTCCTTCGCAGTTGATTCTCTCCATATTTATCGTTTCGAGGAAGAATTCGTGATCGTTAACTCGACGATCGCGATCACGTTTCTCGGGCACGCGGCTACCTGCGAAGAGAGAATAACGAACTCTCGTTCGTTGAGTCATCCGTCCGTAGAAAGTGCTCTGCGTCCTGGATCAAGTGGCGAAATCACACAAACGTGACGATACGCAAACGCGCGTAAAAGACGACCTATGTCGAAATTAATCGCCAAATGGGAATTGCGATGCGCGCAAAAGTGAATGAGCTTAAAAAAAATTAAAAGAAAAATAAAAGCTCTCCTAATCTTCGGAATATGATAATTATCGATCAAAATATGATACATCGTCTGATCGATCGAAAAGTAATCGGCGATCATGGAACGTTACTTGCGAACGAAATGGAAAGGCAAGAAGCGAAGATCGAATTGTGTTGCGAAGTCAGCTTTCGTGTATTTCGCTTGCTCTTTCTTTTTCGAACTTCTTTCTAACTTCTAAGTTTGTCTCATCTCATATCTATATATCAGGTACAGTGGAAAAGCTAAATCGTCGAATTTGCCGGTTTTGCGATGCAACGGAATGTTGAAAGAGAAAAAGAGAGAAAGAACGCGGCGCGATTGTTACGCCAACGTGCCGAACAAAATTTATTTGGAAAGTTGAACGAGTTTGGGCCCGCTCGTCACTTTCGCCCATTGAATTACTGTCTTTCCAGTCGAATATGCAAAACGGTTTTCACTAAAGATAAAAAAGCAGGACCATCCTACCCGTCGACCTCATAATGCGTCGATCTCATCGCGAAGCACTCTCTATTTTTTACGAAATATGCGCCGGGGTCGACGTGATGCGGAAGCGGTGCCTATGAAAATTTCATAAAGAAAAGATCTCACAAATAGGATAATCTTCGCCGACGTGATACGTTCGATAGATTACGATGAATGATTACGGGCTATTATAGCATCGATATCTCAGATTGAGCGTGCGAGCAAATTAATTGC